CGCCCCACTGCAACTCCTGCAGCTCGGAACCATAGTCCTCTGTGCTGCTGGCCATGCCTCGGCTGGCGATCGGCTCCTTCTCGGTCACACCTGCCGAGGAGAACGCGCGGCCGCGCGCGATTGCGGTCAGCGAGGAATTAATCATCGATGGATCGATCGATCATATCGCACGGTCACGCGACGGAAGACGGGGACGGGTGACTAAGGAAGTTTTTTTTGTCCTAATTGCAATTAAATAATACCATACACGTCGCGTTTCTAGCAATCGGGAAAATTTCAGTTTTGGGAAATTTTAATTGAGATATAGAAAGACTGTAAAAATTATATCCGGCCCAAAAAATTATAAATTTTTCAAGAGAATTCTCTTTCCCTTTTTTTTACTGCATATTTCTATTTATTTATTTTAATAATTAATGGTAATGCGAAACAAATTTTACATAATTACATTTTGGAAAATATATTCTACAAATCTACTCTTCTTTTTTCTTCTTTTTTGCACATGTTTTTATTTTTATATATAACTGATTAGCAACGCGAAATGAATAGCAAAACAAAAGCTTTCTGCGTTGCTTGTTAATAAATTAATTCACGATAATGAAAACAATTGCAAAAGTAAATATAGAAATTATAATATTGAAACTTTTAACGTGAGAATTGTTAGATAGACAATTTGTTCAAAAACAGTCGATAAATCTTTAATATTACTTCGGGAGAAAAAGCTTTACACGCTTTTGCATTAATACATTATAAAGTTAAGCATGGCAATCCTTGACTCGATCACCCGAAGCGGCTTAAACGTAAAAGCCGCGGCCTGAATTTCAGGGATATCGGCCAGATCGATCGAGTAAATAAATCAGGAGACACCGCGAGTTCCCGGGAGACATTTTCGTGCTGGCGAAGAAATCACCTCGACATTCAAATGCCACATTAACGACTGAAAATTTTATTACGGAAGTCTTTCTCGGAAGTCGCGTCTCGCTCCCGAAAAAACGGTAACGCAAGAATGTTTTCACGCAGCTATCGACGAGCGCGCGATGAAAATTTAATACGCTTGTCTTTCTTCTTGCAAAACTAAATTTCCTAGGAGCACGAAAAGCTCCACGAATGCTAAAGTCGCTGTTCCAGTATATTTCCAGCGTAAATTCCTTAAACGCTAACGTCGATAGAAATTCACCTTAAATAATTCCTCGCATTTCGCGATTTAGCGCTAACTCGAGAATGCAATGAAATGTTGAAATATCCTCCATTACAGATATTGCGATACACCAAAATCGCTTTCGCTCTAATTCGATCTCTCTAATTCGATGATTCGTTGTGATAATTAATTACCATAATGACATGGATGCGATAACAGAGGACGCGAAATCGTTGCAATCAAACGCATTTACGTTGTTACGTTGCTATGCAATTAATCAGGTATCTATCACTATTGCGTATGTAGGTATGTGAAGAATTTACGGATTAATATTCATCCAAATTGCAAGCTTGCTGCAGCAGCGCTCGAATAATTTACGCTTTTTTTTTTTTTTTTTTCTAGACGCGTCTTCGGGCGTCCATTTGCTGACATCGTTGCTCCAGACGAATACGCGTCCACGAATATTTGCGATTTATTTTTACAACGGCGATCGATCGCCGTTTTTTCCATTGTTATCATCGGGTTGCCGTGACGCGAACCGATTACGTTATCGATTCCCACGGGACGGGAATAACGGGACAATTAAATCCGTCGCGGGAGAGACTTCCTTGTCGTGACTGTCTAGCGATCCTCGATAGGATCTTTAACGCGAGACCTGCCGTCGCGTCGCGGTCACAGTAACGACATCATTTTCTAGGACAAATCCGCCGTAACTCCCTTAATGGCTTCAGGAAGTCTTCCGTTATCGCCGGAAGAAAGATCGAAGCTGGTCTGGAGATAATCGCTCATAAACCGATATCTCTGTACGGAATATTCCAGCTCTTTTCGCGAATTCTTCAAACAATGTAAAAAACTCATTAATTAATGTTCGGTGAAAAAAAATTAATTCTCTTGATAGATAAAAATAATATTCTCTTGAAAGATTAAAAACATTTAAATATTAAAGTTTATTTTCACACACAAATTTATTTTCAAATATTAAGCAAAATAAATAAAAATTTAAATAAAATGTTAAAGTTACTCGTTGCCGTGGAAATTGATTAATTCATGTGGAATAGAAAAGTTCTTTTTCCGCAAAATTAGGTCGCTTTACCAAATCACACTTTACTAAATCACGATTGTAGTGCAGAGTACTTCGGAACCCTCGCAACTTTGTACCGTTTATATTTTATATCGGTTTTGACAAAACACAGCAGCATTTATATATAATTTATTACAATTTTATTACAAATAAAGTAAACATAAGTTTCTTTTCGAAATTGAATTATTAAAAATTATTTTATCATCTTTATGTGCCATTTTCAGAACTTATCATACATTTAATAAGACCATATGCGTAATATCTTGCAGAGTAGGAAAAACAAAAACAAAAATAAAATGATAATGTCAGTGCTCTCAACAGCTCCATCCGCCTCGAAATTAAATTCCCGTCGTTTTTCTCCCCGCTTTAATACGAGTCTCCGAGATCAAGTCGTCCCCTACGAAGACAAGAAGGTCGCGGGGGTGTCTTGCTAGATTTAACACTTGATGTCGCACAATGTCTCTTAATATCGTTGCCATTCCGCGTTGACAATCGCAGACAATTTCGTCTTTGCTTGGCAAAGCAGCTCGAGCCAACCTTGACACTGAGAAAGGCTCGTTTGCTGCCGGCCGAAAGGGGAGGTAGGAGGGAGGAAGGGGGTTGAAAGTCGCCCCTCCTGCCGGGGGTCGCGCTAGAGAAGCTAAGTGGTAAAGGGAGGGGGGGGGTGAGCCGACGGCGAGGGCTGTGTCGTGTGTTCCGTCATGTACAAGGGTGGGCCGATCAATACTGCGGCTGAACACCTGAAGCCGGCTTCATTCAGTCGGCACCTCCATTTCACTCCCCCCCCCCCTGCCCCCCTGCCTCGATACTATACTCGGCAGTTATTACGTACACGTACGTACCACCCCCGCAAGGGTCGCGATTAGAGACCGCGGTAGAGCAATACAATGGTAGAGCTCACGTTAGCTCAACAGTGCCAAGATGGAGCCTCGTTTTTTTTTCTCTTCTCAAGAGAGAACCTCTCTCTGAGATTTATATCCTGTCCGTGTGAAAAATTCTGTATAACAGAGAGAAGAAATGGTGGCGGTTTATCAATATTTAACGTAAGTCGACATTAATTATAAAAAGACAATTGAAAAACGGATAAAATTGACATTCAGACGACGAACGACAAAAA